ATGCACCACTCACCATTCCCTTATTGCCTAAACCCTAAACTCCATTCATCACCACAAGCAAGCACTCTAGTTCCTGCACTTCCACCACAGAAGTCCGCACCTCATTGCGCTTGCGGCCGCATTTCCGGCAGAACACCGCGTCGTCCGCGTAGATGTTGCCACAAGGGCAGGTCTGCCAGGGTTCGTAGGGTTTAGAGTTTACCTGAGGCTCTTGCCTACAGTTTCGCAGTAACTACCCCTTAGTGAATTCGTATAGGCCATGACACTGTCCCTAAACCCTAAACCCTAAACCCTAAACCCTGTAGGTAAAGAGTCCCAGGTCTTGTCTGGGAGTTTTTGGGCTTACAGGGCGCATGCATCGGAGACTGAAAGGTCTTGGGCGACTCGTGGCTTTCGGCTGTGAAGATCTCACAGCACCCCATCCTCGAAGACTCCCTCAACTCAGCCCTACAGCCTAAACCTTATAAGCCGTAAACCCTAAACCCCATAGGCCCTGTAAGCCCTACATAAGCCCTAAACCCTAAACCTGAGCTGCGCCTGTTTCGACTGGCTCTCGGCAGAAGCCGCAGAGGGTGTCTGAAGCAGGGGTCGTGTTGAAGGCTTGGGGATTTGGCGCTCTCTTTTTTAGGGAGTGCGGAGACCCAGAGGGCTACTGTTTACCTTTTCCCTCAAAGCCCCAACGCCGAAAGCTTTAAGCCCAAAAACCTAAACCTGAAGAGCGTACGAGCAGTAGTTCACGATTTGCCTCCTCAACCCTGGATTCATGTAGATCAAGCAGATGTGTTTGGGCTTTGACGCGCACACTGGCACAAGCCAGTGAAGATATGGTTCGAGGGTCCAGAGGATTCGAGGGTTTAGGGCAGCAGCACACACCTGTATCTTGCATGTGATGCTCCAGGGAAGCCTTGTATGGGGCCCACTGCAGGCTCTTGCACAGCTTGCTTTTGAAACCCATGGCCCCAACAGGCGAGGCATCTGAGCTCAACCAGTCCATAGACAAAGGCGCCAGCCGCACATTCTATGCTTCCACGAAGATCTGTCCTAAACCCAAAACACCCTTGGTTTTTCTAACCGGCATCTCCGACGTGCCAGCACCACTAGACAGACGGGAAACGTTAAACAACAAGAAAGCGAACAATGGCCTACTCTGGGTTCTAGCCCTAAACCCTAAACCCTAAACCCCCAAAAAGGGCAATGAGCGCCTACTTTAGGCCCTAAAGGGCAAATTCTGGAGCCACCTCGCCCTTCTCGTTCAGCTGCGCTGCTGCCTGCAGCTCTGCGACTTTTGAGTTGCTGTTTAGGGTTTAGGGTTTAGGGTTTAGGGCTTAGGGCTTAGGGTTTAGGGTTCAGGGTTTAGGGCTTAAGGTTTAGGGTTGAGGGTTCAGGGTTTAGGGTTCTTGCCGCCCGCCCAGCACTCGCGCGCACCGCGGGGACTACTTCACAGGGTCCACACTGAACAACTGCTTGAAAGCACCACGTCGCATGAACTTCCTAGCTACACCCCTAAGTAAGGCCTCGCCAAACCCACCGACACCTTCAACCTGCCATAACGAGGCGGCGGTTTGCCCACGTCCAGCTATCACCGAGAGAGGGGACAATGGTTTAGGGATTAGGGTTAGCAGGGCTTTGGGTTTAGGATGTCTGTCACATGGGGGGGGGGGGGGGGGGGCGGGCCTTTTCAAATATTGTTGTTGTCTTTTTTGCCACCCGCCTAGCTGAATTCTCACAACTGGGTTTACGAAGGTGTAGGGTTTATAGAGGGTTTAGGGTTTAGGGGAAGAAAGGGGCCTAGTTAGATAGAACGGGTAGCTCAGGTAGCGAATATGCTTCTTTATATTGTGGTTCTAAGGGAAAGTCTTCCCATCTCAGTATTGTGGGACAATGGTGTCCTTCTTGCTTGGTCTGGTTTGGGATTCCATTGGGAGAGATTTCGCGAGTACAGTCGAGCGTTCGTGCGACATCGGTGTTCAGGAATGAGGTTCGTCTCCCTTCGCAGTCACAGAGCGTCCGCTTGCAGCAGCAAGAGCGCCGTACCAGCGGAGAGTTGTTTACTCGCTTGATGCGTGCGTGTGCATACATATATACACATACATACATACATACCTACATACATACATATATATATATATATTCATATCATATAAATGCTGGGAAATAAACGCAACATACACGTTCGGTGAAGCGAAACATCTCAGCCCAGGGATGTGCAAAACACGCTGAATCTAGTCCCAGAAACCGGAACAAATGCTTTGAGATTCTGTGCCCCAGAGTCACCGAGGAAGGAAAGGGCTTCCTTTTGGTCAATAGGTTGGTCCAGAGGGCTTTCACCGGAACTGGGGCTACTACTTGGCATCCTAGTCAGTGGTATGCACCGCAAATCTCGAACCCCTGAATCTGCAGACCATCAACCTGAAAGCATGAAACCTCAAGCACCCTACGCCTGTCAACATCATCCCTGGGCCCAGGCAGCAAGAAGGATCTGCTTCAACTGGTTGGAATCAACATTGACAGTGCTCTCTCCTGCAGCAAGCCCTATAAACCCTAAACCCTAAACCCTGTTCGACTCCAGGCTGGAGCAATTCTCCCAAACATGTTCCTTTATAGGCAGTATGGGGGCTGGTGGCTTTTTAACTTTTTGTAGGAACTTGCACTTTAGGGTTGAGAGTAGCTCCTACACAATTTCCGGGGAGCCCAGGATGCAGGGTATTCGGCTCTACGTGCTATTTAGCAAGATAATAAAATGGCCGCGTTTACTTCCAAACGAACGGCTGCCCCTGCTCTAATTATCGACGCTAACCCCAAGGACGCCCTCATGCAATAATCTCTCAGACATAGGCCAACATGGCAAAAACCACAAACCCAACACCCTCAACCCTAAAGACGCAGACCATGAGAGGCACCCGTGACTTCTCAACGTGAACAGCAAGGAACCTGGAAGCATGACTCCCGCACTCAACACAGCACCGAGCCCGGTCCCTTTTTCCATGCCGTCCGTATGGTGCTGTAGGCCTGACATGCAAGAAGCATGGTACATCTAACTGCCACATAGAAAGGGCCTGGGTGTTTCATTCAGGTGAAGAGACAGCAGGAGTTTGTTATTCGTGGTATTGATGCGGCATTGAAGCTAACTCAAGTAGGCCGAGCGTTGCGTGCGTACTCGGAGGCTTCTTTTCGTCGCCCGCCTACTCAGAGGATCTCAGTGGATTCAAGAGCTTAGGATTTTGAGGGTTGTGACCTAGGGTTAAGGGTTTTGGTTTCGGGTTTGGCCTTTGAACGCAACAAAGCAAAAGCAGGAACGGGGCAAACGAGCTGAAGAGCGCTGTCATGATCGGGTTGTCCAGAAACCTCTGTTTGGTAACACGCATGGAGAATATGAAAACTAGAAGCAAAAAACAGCCGTCAACGTGCCTTCTTGAGGTTGGCTTGCGTGTCACCTTCCAGAAGCAACAAGCCACGGAAACAAACTCACAGGATGATATCAGAGAGCCCGCGAGCCTTCAATTTCAAGGAACAGCTCTTGAACATGATTATTCTGGGGATCTTAATGTGACTTAGGGAGTCATCGTTCACGAATGGGCGTTGGGCTCTCATGGGATTGCAGGCCGCTATACTCCAAAGGGGCTCTTAACCAAATAGCAGGCTATACCAGGATTGTCGATGGGGTTCTTAAGCAAATAATCGGCCACAGGTAGGGACGGCACCACTGCTTCCTGAAGCCGCCATGGGGAAGATCGGAGAAAATGCGGCCAGGAGGACTGATGAGGCGACTCACGAGCGGTCAGGGGCCCACAACCCCTTAAGGACGCTGTAGGGACACAACCCTAAACCCAAAACCCAAAACCCAAAACCCTAAACCCATACATGTTGCATGCTCAAAGCAAAGATGCGACTGTTGTGGATGCTTGAATTATCTCCAGATCGTCAGACCAGCGCTGTCAAGCCAAGCAAGCAGGAAGGCGCCGAACTACCATGCAATGCCGAAAGAATGCCGAGACCCTAACACCATCTGAAAAACATGTATGCATGGGAGGGAGGCCATACGAAGAAAGGGGAAGGAAATCAAACCCATCCCAAAGCACATCCCAAAGAAGCTCACATCTCCCCGACACGAGCCAAACAGGCACTCCCCACAACACGGCCAAAGAGTATGCACTTACTCCCGTCATTCAGACTCTGCGGTGGTTCAGCGTATACTGTACTACATTGTTTCTTTAGCCTTCTTATGGATCCCAGTTCTGCTCTGTCGGTCACTGTTCCCTGTTTTTGAAGTCTGTAGGCAAGCTTTAATCGCCAAACACGAAAAAACACAAAGTTGGGCGGGACGTACAGCGAGAGAGAATAGTGAAAGGCCGGCAACAAGAAGATTGGTGCAACTTGATGCACATTAATACAACAAGCTATCCAAAGCCATGATGCTGAAGTTCATGCTCAGCACACACTGAACTGCGCTCTGTTGCACCTTCCTACTAAGGGCATGGAAAAAAGGCTCTATGTCAGTCCTCATGTCCTCCATATGCTGCTGGGATGCGGTTTAACGCATGATTAGGAAAACCACCTGCAAGCCATTTATGCTGCACACGTTCAAAGCGAGCCTCAACAAACTACCAGCACTTCAGAAATTCAGAATCACTGGACGTGCAGATCCTTGCATGACGCGCGGCCAGCTGTCGAATCCTGTACTATGCTGCTTTCAGTTCGTGAAAAACACTGCGAACTGCACTGCGCAATGCTGAATGTAGAGGGAGCTGAGAGACTCTTGTGCATACTTGGACTCTCGGCTGAGAAAATGATTCGCAGGTGCACGATGCATGCTTCTGATCTTTGTGAAGTGTCCCGCTGTTCCTCACAGCTCGACAAAGAGCCAACCGCCCTCCTCATGTAGTGTTTCCTGGCATAAACTCGAACTGGGCACTGCTGCTAGACTAACCTGCGTTGAAACCTGTCGAGGCAGCTCCGGTGGAGTGCCGGGATTCATTTTTTTTAGTGCAGAGTCGGACAACTCAACGGTTCATGAATGTTGCACTACCGTACTGCGGGTGTGGGTCTGCAAGGCTTCTTTCTTGGCGATGGGAAGTGGCATCGAAATGCGAAACTAGCAGGGGAGATAACAGCAGTAGCGTCTTCATTTCATGTGGCAGCCAAGGGAAGAACAGCCTTTGTCTTTGTAGCCAGCGGAACAGTGTCCTTTCCTGGACGATCCTGTCCCGTGGAAGTCTGCCATGCTGGCGTGCCAAGTCAGTCAATGCACGTGCCATCTGCTTCCATTGCCCCATTCTCCGCGATGTTTGGGGGTGCTTTGCACATTCGGCAAAATGCTGATCCACCAGAGGGTGTAGACCCCACAACAGCTGCAGCCTCACGCCACTGACACGAACATTGCCTGTCTTTAAGCCGCTAAACCATTTGCCCAATTGACGGACGCCACGACTCTGAGTCCTACTGGTGGAAGGCACGGCGCCGTGTTTGCAAACATATCGGTTCAGAGCCTCACATCGCTTTCGGAAAGCCCAATTCTTGTCTCGCCACAATTCAACTCGGTACCGAAGCAAAGCGCACGAAGAATTTTCAAGTCTCTGAAGCCTGTGCAAGGGCAAGCCCCGCAGCTTGAATTTTTGTCCTGCATTGTGAAGCCAATGTGCTAGGGTGGCCTCTGCTTCGACCCCTGATTGCCGTCTTGGAAGATGGTCGTGCTTTGAAACAAAGCGCTCCAGGGAGCGGAGGCGGACTTCCCATGGGTCGTGGTATGTAATCACGTCGGAGAGCTGCGCAAGCAAGTCTCTGCAGCGGTATCCAGAACTGTCTGAAACAGCCATTCTGACATCAACCACCGAGGCGCGAAAGTGCAGGGGATGCTGTCGCAAACGAGTATCAGCCTGAGAAATCGCAGCCACAAAGCGATGCAGCTCAGACCCGTATCCTTGGTCTAGCATGATCGGAGCCCCATGAGTAGCACGCCTGGTGAAGCATTTTCGTCCATGTGGGGATGTTTTGGAGGGAGTCGCCATGTATGACCGGTAGGATGCAGTTGCGCTGTCGGTATCTGTCTCAGTAGCGTCACCGGCAGCTGCAGTAGCATCACCTGCAGCATCATACAGTTCCGCACTTTCAACCTGGCTAAGCCATCGGCGTGATGGGAGTACAGTATCACCACAGCCTGAGGCTTTCTTCTCAACGGCTTGCACCTCTCTCCGCTTCTGGCAGTCCCCGATGTTTCTTGTGCGCGTGTTGGAGGGCACCACTTCATCTCGAGGAGCTGCGTCAGCAAGCGCGGCATGGTTGATCTTCAGCTTGGCATCCTCTGCACACCCGGCTTGTAAAGATTCTGAGACGATGGTTTGGGCTGGCAATATCACGTGGGCCAGTGGCTTTCTCGGGTTTGTCCTGAGCACCCTTCCCATGGCCTGAATGATGCTTACATAGCTGTCCCGCGGATGGACGAATAAGCAGGTGTCCGCATTTGGTATGTTTACACCCTCACCCAACACCTGGACTGTCACGAGGATGTGCACAGGCTTCCGCAAGCACCCAACAAAGTCACGCACAACTTGTCTTCGCTTGCGGAGTGTCGTCTTTCCATTGATGTGCCAGGCGGCTAGGCCAGCTGACTCGAGTACATGCCGAAACCGCCTGGCTTCGTGCACGGAGTTGCAATAGGCAAGCACCCTCCTAAAATGGCCAGCTTGGGTACTTAGCAGCTGTGCCAACGAAAGATACGACTGTCCTTGGGTTGTAATTGGCACTGTGAAGTCATAGTCGGACAACACTGCGTCGGCAATTGCTTCGCCCATCGTGTATTGGAAATCAGCAGGCTCCCTGTGAGTGGCAGAAAATTTAAAGACTTGCCGTCCCACTGGCATTCCCGTTGGCGAAGGGTGATGTGCTTCATCCACCAGGATCGTTTGAAACTGCACTGTCTGCAGCAAGTGGATGGATTCAGTGACGGCTATAAAACCTTCGGCAGCGAGATCGACTCTGTCGTTGTAACCTGTCCCAACTTTGCAGAACTTTGGAAACTCCTCGCTGAATTGCTCCAACAATACGCGCGATGGCACGGAGATCAATACCTCAGCCACTTCATGACCAATTGGATCACATCCCTGTACGTGCAAACCCCTCTTCTTCGAGGTCAGGCAGGAACGTAAAAAACTTCAGGCTGCACTTGGATTGCCGAAGATCTGGTGAGATTGGGGCCTACTAACTAGGCGTCCCTTCCGACCTTGCTCTATTGGACCCTTTCACACCCCCCTGCGATGCAAGGCGCCTTGCCCGATGTGTTTTCAGCAAGCTCTCGAATAATTCGAGTCTTGCCCGTCCCACAAGCCATCTCCACGACACGAGCTCCCTGAACACAGGCCTCCAAGCAGGCCATCTGGCAACTCCGCAAGGGAAGGTCGACCGAGGGCCCTACTGTGGCCCTGTCGGAAATGTCAGGCAGCCGGCGCAAAGCATGCTTGCTAAGATACTTCTGCTCAGCCTTGTACTGGGACAGCCATCTCTTCGAGTCAGATGCCAACTTGCAGCCTTCATTCGTCACCACAACGTAGTCCATTACCTTCCAAGCCAGAGATGCGAACACTGAAAGACGACAGCACGTGTGCAGCGCGCACATTTGCCGTATAACGCCTGTTTGTGCTAAATACAAAGACATGCATACATATATATATATATATATATATGTATATATGCAAGTACATATGAAAATGCATGTCTATGCATAACCCACAGGAGCCTTGTTTATTTTCGCAATATCGATTTTATCGCTTGTTTGGGCTGTCTCGTTTCTTTGTTGTGGCACAAGGGAAGGAAATAGTCCTCATCTTGTTGTAGCCAGAAAAAGATCACGAGCAAAAGCCAGGCCCCATAAGTTGGGGAAAATGCGTTCTTTGTCCCGCAGCATTTCTGTGGGACTATAGGGTTCCTGAACAGGCGCGCTTGCATTGCAAAATGCGCCCGGTTTCACTCGGCGTTGCTGTCACTGCTGCTGGTGTTGCTACTGCTACTGCTGGAAGACGAGGAGCCAGCTTGATCTTGCACTGCCTGGGCCCTGGGCCTTCCGGCGTGTCCCGACGGGCAATAGACATGGGCGAAGCAAAAAGACGCTAAAGGACTGCTGCATACTCTGGACTTTTGAGTCGTAGCAAGACAAAAGACAACCTTCGTTTCGTTTTCAGCACCTATATGACTTAACACCTAGCCAAACAAAATTAGGCATCATGTGTCTTAAGAGCAGCCCCGGTTGACTTTCGAACGTTGCTGCATGTGTTGTTCTTTGTCTCCGGAGCCTTGCACCAACACAATCTCAAGGAAAAGAACCTGTCTTTCAGGATAGACCAGGGTAGTGTTCTGCTTTGGGTTTCTTGGCTTGGGCAGTGCTGCCTCAATTCTCCAAAGTGAGGTTGCATTCCCAAGCCCTAACATTAACCTTCTCGCCGGTCCTCATTGTCGAGTCGATAAAAACTATATATATTTCGGGTGTGGCGTGAAGGTAGCTCGCGAACTGGGGCTTGTGGTAACTCTTGATTATGAATTCTCCGGGAGCTCCTTAATAATATTGTTTGCGCATAAGCATGAACTATAGTACAAGTATGCGCAAAGTGTATAATTAAGGGCCCAGGGGGCCGACACGAGGTGCCATCATAATATTTGTGTAGGAGCTCTTGGGATTCAAGACATTGGTATATCCTTGGCAGAACGGGGGATGATCAAAGCAAACTCGTTTGGATTCATGTTTGGTGAAGGGTTAATTCGATTAAACGACTTCTGAAGCTCCTGTTCGATTGTGTTGTTCAAGTAAGATGGTGTTGTTTAAGTAACATCACCTCACAGGACAGGCGGGCCATGGGAGGGGTTGTTAGCAGAAGTATCAGCCAGCGTGCATGTGTATGTATATATGTATGTAAAGCTCACACACGGTGGACCTTGTAGACGTAACGGGCTGTGCGAAGGAAGCGCTTGACCTTCCCGTGCAGCACAGTTCCGCTGCAGCACAGCATGGCCCGCTGACCATCAAGGCTCAGGAGGTCCACACCTACGTCGAGAATCCATGATCTGGATTTGCTGGCACTTACTACTACTTGAAAAACCCACATGATCCTGAAAAGAGAGGAGGGGCCTGAAAATGATTTCTAACATGGCAAAGTCCAAAGTCAAAATCCAAAATCGAAATGCGACATGGGCTTAGTCCTACTGCTTGCTAAGGGGCACCTGGACCTAGTAAACAGGCATGCTCATTTTCCGGCTTATGGGGTATTCACAATGGGGTAGCTGCCGGGTAGCTCTGAGAGATGAGACAACCTTCGAAAAAAAGACTCAAGCGCACGAATATGCACGAACCAAAACTCACAAATCCAGCCAGACACAAAGTTGTTCTTGGCATAATTGGCGAACAAGCTTCAATAGAGGCTACTTGCAACTACAAAGTTGCATCCTGAGTTTGCCAAAGGGGTTCGCCGAAGGGCCTAGGCAGAGTGTTGTGAGGCAGGTAAGAGGTTGCATATGGCATAGTTGTGCGGCGTTGTGGCCAACATTTTTGAGGAGATCAGACCTGTGAAGCCGTGGCAGAAGAGGACATCTGAAGAGGTGGGGACCAAAAGGGGTCAATCTCTAAGGCCAGCCGAAAGATGTCCACAGCAATGGGTTAGGGGTGCTCTTGCCTGCCTGTGCTTCTGCGAGTGATATTCTGACGCTCCAGGAACCATGGCGGCAGCTCCTGAATGGAGAGTTATCATAACAAAATAACGCTTTGAATGGAGAGTTATCATAACAAAATTAACGCTTTGCAAGGACTTTTGCGGCCATGCTCCTGGGTGGGCACCGCATGGAACTCCACCACTGCAGCCCACATCAGGCGCTGTTGGTCCTCGAGGAAGGGCCAGGATAGGGCCTCCTTTGCTAGGCCCTGTAGACGTTCCATGAAGGCCTCATCACGTCCTCGAGGAATGATGGCAAGTTGAGCAAGAAAGAAAGAAAGAAGGAAAGAAAGAAAGAGAGAGAAAGAGAGACAGAGAGAGAGAGAGAGAAGGAGAGAGAGAGAGAGAGAGACAAGACAAAACAAAAAAAAGGACAATTTGAAGGAAAGAAGAAAAAAGAAACAAATCAAAACAAAAAACAAACTAAATTTTAAATCAAACGAAAACAATGTGATGTGTTCCATGACTTATCCTGCATTGCACGCCAGGGGTCGCATCTCAGCTTCTGCAAGCAACGTCACAGGGTCATTTTTGCAGGCAGCGGCGGAGAGAGGCATCCTCACTCAGCATGCAAGTTTGAGGCCAACTTCTAGGGCCCTTGGGTGCCAGTTTAGACATGTCTCATGGCGTGTTCTCTCTACGCACAGCTCCCAGCTGCATCCAGCTGCTACAATCCTTTGCCTAACGTCCGGGACAGGGAGTTGGGGTTCTCCAAGGCCCCAGCGCCCTCGTTACACTTCGAACTTCCATCGTTACACTTCGAACTTTGCAGCCGCTGCCATTCAGAGCAATTGGTTGACTGAAGCTGCTCCTGTGCTTGAGATGCTTGAGCGCATGCCAGGCGCAAGACGTACCACCAGTCCAGTCCAGCAGGTCAACACCCAGGTCAAGGCAAAGGCTAGACACGCCTGACCAAAGAAGAAGCCACCGCCATCGGCGAACCTTCTGCAAACTGTGCTTCAAACTACAATTGACACTTCAATTGACACTTCGTGTCGCAGTGATTTCTGGCTTTTCTTTTACTTATTCTGCTCCAACAGCATATACTGCAATGTAGCGTATATCATGTCAGATGTGAGTCTCCACGTGTGCTATGTCATGACAAGCCCAAATTTGGCGCCCCCCGGCCTTCCAAACAGCGTGGGCAGGCGCAACCCACAAGTGTCTTTTCGTCCACCTGATCGTGCGGGTCATGCGGTCTCCGGAAGTCGGTCAGCAACACCTGCACCCTTCACAGTCCCGCACGTGCCAGACATCAAGCGTTGGACTGCAATCTTGAGCCGCATGTTGCCAATCCGGAAGTCACTCACAACTCAAGTGGCCTTGCTTGGTCGATGGCGTGTTCTGTTGCGTGTCGAAAACTGAGGGTATCAGGGCCTCCAAGTTGTCGAGCCCATGCATCACTGAGCTGACCAAACTCAGTAATAGTGCCGTCCACAAACCCTATACTCAGATTTGGTCCGGTGCTCGAATCCTTTGACATCCGGGCCTCTGAAGTCTGCCGGGCACCGACGCCTCCTTCCTCAAACCCTTGAGATGCAACATGTTTCAACCGTGCGTACTTGTGCTCTGAGCAGCTGCAGGCTGCACTTGTGCCCGGGCAACCGTCTGCACTGTTCGCTGCGGAGCTTCTTACGACTCTTCCCGAACTCACTACTCAAACTTGTCCCCCTCCTGGGTTTAGGGTCTAGGGCGGCCCTGCTTCTGTTGGGGGGGGGGGGGGCTCTTAAGCAAATAGTAGGCTACATAATTAAGGAAGAATATGTTTTAGAATTGTTTGGCATGTCTTAAGCAAGCAGAAAGATGCCGACTGCCAAACAAGCCTCCCAAAAATGCCCTAACTTTGTTGCATCCACGCTCACGACACCCTCAGTGCTAAACCCTGTTGTGGGAGGCCGACAAGAACCTCAAATCTCCAGAACGCCTTAAGCCCAAGCCCAGAGCTTACTAACCACAAGCCAGAGAACATGGAATGAGGCATCTCGTTCAGATTCTGGGGTGTCTTGGATTGAAGTCATCCACTACTGCGCACCCAACCTTACAGGAATGACAAGAACTCAAATGCTTGACCGTGCTGCTCGGTATAGACTTAGAAGTTGTGTGGCCACCACTTTGTACGCTGATGGGGCTTGTATGGGCTTGTGGTTCCAAACCTGCTGTTGCAATGAACTGTCTTCAGGGTGCGCATGCTGGTTCAGCAACCACGGAAAATGTCCTCATAACCGCAACTGCTGACAACAAAACGATCTGTGAAGGTCTGTCTAGTTGGCGCAGGGGCAAAAGGCGCTCCTCCTCGGCACTTCAACCCATTCTTGTGTTGCATTTGGGCCACTCCATGTCTGAAACATGACAGGTGTGTGCACCAGCACATTGTAGCTGAGTAGGCATGTAACCAATGTCAGCCAACCAGTGAGGACAGTGAAGCTTTCCACTGTCTGAAAAGGGGCGCGTATGCGCGCACGTAGCTTCGTGATGACGGCCCCAGTCTCAGGACTCTACGCACGATTGCGCAGGTAGATTTGCACGCTCATCGAAGATTGGAGGCAACCTTTCATTCTGCCTTCGCACACCTCGCGCATCCATCCTTAGTCGGCAGATAAAAACTGGGCAACGATGTTTGTAGGCTTGCCTGCACGCATGCCTTGTGCAAGGGTCCCTGCACCAGCTCCGCCCGCCCGCGCAGAAGACACGGCACTCATAGCAAATTGAAACCAGGCAGGGGCCCAGCATCAAAACCACCCACAGCGGCGAACCTGCACTGGAACACGGACTTTCACCAAGGGCAAGCTCCAGGGTGCTCCCCTGGCCTTGTGAGCTCTACCCATCCATCTCAATCAGGAACGAGCCGCATGCTCCTTGCCACTCGAGCCCTGTCTTAACAAGCACAAGTCTTTGCCGCAAAGACCAACCAACGCTTGAGAGCTGTTTGCGCGAGCAAGCACAACACAGATATCTTAAGGAAACACCAACCAACACTTGGAGAACAAAACAAACGCTACTTACCTTGGCTATCCCCTCCTACAATTAACCTTAGCTACACTTAGGAGGGTAGCTAAAAATTCAAATTTTAGCTGCCTTATTAAGAAACCCAAAAAACACAACAAAGGTAAAGATCTAAAGTCACAGTAAAGTACCACAAAGTAACCGGTGCGGGAGAGGAATCAGGCTTCTGTTTGCGGTTGATTTCCCGACGCGGCACCACAGGCCTTCTCTGGGGTTCACACTCCAGAAATACTCGGCGAGTTTTCCTGTGGGAGTTCTGTTCTCGGGGGTGGGCACTCCAGCGAGTTGGACACCGCGAAACTCGGCAGGACTCTCGGCAGGGTTCTCTCGTTGGGGATGCTCGGCGGGCTTCTGAATTCTCTGGGGCGCCGGGCGTGGACACTGCAGGGATGCTCGACGGCTTAACATTCCAGCCCCACAATGAGGTTTGAGAAGTAGCGGCACAGGTGCATGAAGCATGATTGGGCGGATAATTCAACATCAAGGACCGGAGCAAGCATACCTTTTCTCTCATGCAACCTGCACTGCCGGGAAATTTAATTGGCGAGGCATCGGCAGCGGGCAGGATTTAGCCGCGCTGTCCATCGCCACACTGAGGGCCACGCGCCCTCGACCCCTACTTCGCTTCTTGCGGCTCCAAGATTAGGGATTCGAGTTTCTACGCTCCCTTTAGAACCTTTGTTGCAGTATTATTTTGAATATTCCCTTGGGGATTATATACATACATATATTCCTAAGGGGGCTATAGGCTTTTTAGGGTTTAGTCGGTTTAGCGCGAGCCGCAGTCACGAGATGTTGCGCTGCTTGTGCACTTGCGCTCTGACGGCTGCACCGTTCGCTGCGGAGCTTCTTACGACTCTTCCCGAACTCACTACTCAAACTTGTCCTCCCTCCTGGGTCCGACGGTTTAGGGTTTAGGGTTTAGGGTTTAGGGTTCCGGGTTTAGGGCGGCTCTGCTTCCCAAGGCAAGGAGTCAGGATGGCAAGGCTGAGGTCGCGGCTTGCCGGTAATTTTGCGATGAGTAAACTCCATACACCTGCAATGAGATGTCGGCAAAGGACAATGGCTCATCATGGCTCAGCCCAATGCAATAATGGCCTGAATATTTAGAATACGGTTTTGGGGATTCTTATCGTATAAGTGTAGAGGGACCTAAGGGAAGACTATTAGTAATTATTCCGACCCCGATCGCCGTACGAGTGCATCCCGGCTTGTACATGGTGGGTTGCAGATCCCTGGGAAGAATTGGAGGTCAGGAGGTGTGGTGAAGTGAGGCAGGGCCGATGTTTCTTGAAGTGCCCTATCCTAGACGCTAACCCTAAACCCTAAACCCTAAACCCTAAACCCTAAACCCTAAACCCTACCAGGACGTGTTAAGCGGCTTCTCAGTGGTAAACGGCTTCTCAGTGCTAAACGGCTTCTCAGTGGTGTTCTAAAGAAATACATGTTTTTTTTCGGATTTTTATGTCCGCACGTGGTCTCGATTTGTTGTGTCACGTGCGTGCGTGGGGGTCTAGTGAAACACGTTGGGTGCAAATGGGGTCGTGCGTATACTTTATATATCGACATGCAAAGAATTATACAATATTGCGATATATATATATATATATAACTATTAATGCATGTCTGTGTATATTCTAGCAGGTAAACTTATATATATATAATACTGTTGGAGCTGAGATTTTTGCAGGCTTGGGTTGTGATCCCACATCCTACATACCCCTGGGAGCATGCGCCCTATATGTATATATTGCAGCTGTCGCTGCCGGACTGAGCTATATCGATCCACATCACACATACGCAGTGGCAAACATGCATGCACGCGGTTCGGTCAATCTGATAGCTTAACGAGGACGTGATTGCCCACGCAGGTCGCGCTATGAAGCCATGACACATTATGTACTTATAGCTGCGGCACAAGGCCACCCATCCCCGCGCGGTTCCGCCATCTGGTTGACGTACGACGAGGATGAGATTTTTGGGATGAAGATCCCCGCCATATGCCATTGGCCAGGTACGGGTATACCGCGTGGCGAACATGCATGACATGGGGGCCGGGATCTGTCCGATCGAAGGATGCATGCATGACTATAAAACCCTATACCTGCGGGTCCCCTGTAATTTCATTCTACCCAGCTAGCGATTGTATATATCCCTCAGTGGATTGCATGTATCTACCTAGTCGAATCGATGTTCATGGTTTGATCGGTCGCCACACGTGTGGCTGCGCGCGCATGCATGGCGCTGTGCGTTGGCGCATGATTTGCTTGCTTGACGCATGATTTGCCTGCTTGACCGGCACGCAGCATGCGTCACATATGCGGTCGCACGCGTGGTTTGCATATATGTATACGTGGGACACGTGGTAGCATGCAGTTTGTGGTTTCTATGCAAGGTCGCACGCGTGGTAGCAGTACGTTGGAAGCTAGATCAATTTGTCATTCTACGCGGTATCCGGGTTGTATATAGGGATCGAATGTTGCTTTTAAAGTTCCGGTCCGCGTGGTAGCACAAGGCTTGCTCTGCAGTACACGTTGTGCTGTCCAGGATAGGCTTTCGAATTGAGGCTAGGCTATATTTTCGGGCCTTCTTCGATCTAGGAGTTGCACATTCTTGGTTTTAAAGGTTCGGTTGACACTAGCCTGTTGGCGCCTTTTTGACGCAAGGCTTTTCGGGGGAAGGGGGGGGGGGGGCGGGTCAGACCGTAAATTCCGCATCTTCCTTGCGGTTGTGCCTATTTATACGGCTTATCATTCAGTTGGGCCTTGTATACGGTTGCGTGTGCCTTTATATATAATTGGGTGAGGTCTCACGCAGGATCCTGAACTAGGGAAGTGCTTGTATCGTGTTGTACCTCTGTAGGCTTTCGGTTGTGCCACCAGGCTTTCGGTTGTGCCTCTTTCGGATTTATTCGGGTTGTGCCTCTAGGCTTTAAACGGTTGTGCCTCTAGGCTTTCGGTTGTGCCTTTAGGCTTTAATTCGGTTGTGTCTTGCAGCTAACAGGCTTTCGGTTGTGTCTTCATAGGCGTTAGTTCGGCTGCGCCTTGAGGATAGGCTTTCGGTGAAACTTCGGTCGCGTCTTGAATCTAGGCGATCTTCCTTGAAGATAGGCTTTCGGTTCGTCGCACACAGCTTTGCAAATATGTGGTGGAAGGCCTTCGATACAGTACAATGTGGTGATCTAAGGCACT